CTTTGTAATATATTTTGATTTTTATAAAATTGTTGCATGATATGTGTTTTGTGTGGCTCATTAAAGCCATAGCATGTGTGACGGATGGTTTGGTAGGTGACCTCTCTTAAGACCGGTCAGCGGCGCAGACCAGTCTGTGTTTTTTCATTGGGCCGGTATCAGGCCATCAGGGTGCTCTCATCAGCACTGGTTTTATCTGGGAGCGCTGCTGAATATTGAAATGTGATCCTTCACTGATAAAGGGCCTCTGTCTAACTCTCCATTCTCTCCCACTCAGCTCTATCTGATAGAGTCAGCACACTCCGTATTATACGGATCATATAAGTATTACTCCATTGTCTCTCTCACAGGGTGCTGATAGCATGGGTACTCCGTGTGGAGGGATGTGGGTGTGTGTTTGTGTGCTCTGAGATATTCAGGGTAGGTGGAAGGATAACAATGATGCTGACTGTGACGATGATGATGGTACTAATGAAGATGTTGTGTGTGTCTTGGGAAAGAGGGGGTGTATAGCAGATATAGAACAGAAAAGAACCACTTGCATAGGCAGCGGATGGCTTGTCTGTCCTCGCTTGTTGTGTTTGTGAGCCACAATGTAAAGTGAAAGATGGATGTCTGTCACGCAGTGGATTCTTTCTTTCTTTCTTTCTTTCTTTCTTTCTTTCTTTCTTTCTTTCTCTCTTTCTTTCACCCCTATCAGGGAATGCTCCTTTCCAAGGAAGAAAATAGGCCAGTGCTAATTAAAGTGTGTACCTGAACAGCAGAAGCACTTCAAAGGAAGCTTGCTAATGCATAACATACTCATAATTACACACTCTACACCAACCCTACCACCTCAGGTATCAGCCACACAGGGGCTCAGGCTACACTACTCATCCTGTTGCTTTTATTTTGTGTGTGTAAGACATGTTGACATGGACTGAGTGCTTATGAAGGTGCATATTGTCAGTAGTGTTGGCCTCATTCAAGTCGGCTTACTTCATAGAGCTCCTTCATGCTTATCTTATCAGCCAGGTTATTAACCAAGATCAAATAAACGATCAAGAATGAGTTAGACAACAATGAAAGAGTCGTCAAAGAACTGCCATAAAGTCAAGATGTTTCGAGTCAGAGTGACTGAGATGTGTGTTAGGGCTGTGTTTTTATCAAATTAACTACCCATTAATTCATCAAATAAATTATTAAATAAAACGATAAGTCATTACAAGCGTATATTTGCTGAGGAAGGTCCCCAAATTAAGATTTTTCAGAGAAATTACATAATTGTTGCAGATGAGCACGATTTGTTGTGTTTTGTTTGCCTTATACTGTATTTTTTTCTTAGCAGCTGGGCTGTGCTAACTGTTGACTCCCAATATGTGAAGATGCTAAAACAGGTTTAAATTGCTCTTATAATTTGAAAAATCTTTATTATAGGACAGTACATACAGTTCAGGAGCATTAACACATTTTGATTTTTATCATAACTTTTAAAACTGTTATTGAAAGAAGTTATGCTCACCAAGGATGCAATTATTTGATAAAAAATACAGTAAAAACAGTAATATTGTGAGATATCATAACAATTTAAAATAACTGGTTTCTCTTTTAATATATTTTCAATTTTTATTCCTGTGATGGCAAAGCTGAATTTTCAGCAGCTTTTACTCCAGTCTTCAGTGTCACGTGATCCTTCAGAAATCATTCTAATATACTGATTTGGTGTTCAGGAAACATTTCTTATTGCCATCAATGTTGAAAACAGTTCAAATGCTTCATATTTTTTGTGCACACCAAAATACATGATCAATTTCTTTACAGATTCTTTGATAAATAGACAGTCCAAACAAACAGCCCTTATTTGAAATAGAAATCATTTGTAATATTATTAACATACTATTACAAAAATATAATATGTACATATGTCTTTACTGTCACTTGATCAATTTAATGTGTTATTGCAGAATAAAAGTATTAATTTCTTTCAAAAAAAAAAAAGAAAAAATTGCTGACACCACACATTTGAACAGTAGTTTATGTGTTCAGTGTAATTTATAGTCAGTGCTTTGTTATCATAGGACCCAGGGTCAAAAAAAGACTATACAATGAGGAATGTTAATGGCCTCAACCAGATAGAAAATGCTAAATTGTTGTTATTATAATTTTTTTATATCATATTTTTCTTGTTTTGTATTTTGGGCTATGAATGTTAAATTGCCTGAAATATTACTAGCTGAGTCACCACAGAATGTTTTTTCATTGACACTTTTGCTGCAGTTTACTGTTTCTACAGTGAACAGTACAACAAAGCCGGAGCAGATGCGTGTTCTCATTCTAATCATCCAATCAGAGCTTTTGTCTGTAAATAAATGGAGTGATTTTGCGGCCTGTATGCTATGTAAATTACAGTTTATTAAATACATACAGGCACACACACACAAACTTGCTACGCCATACGAGGCAAGATGAGAGACAGATACACTTCCGACAGTCTGCGTTATTTGTTTGAAGCAAGTGTGTGTGTTTGCAAGCATATCCATGTGCATGTTTTGATCTTTGTTCTTGTGCCATGGTCATTGAGAAACTCCATGAACAGAAAACCCTTGTTAGTGGCTCAGGCCCCCAAACAGGCCTGTGATTGGCAGCTGCTCTCCTCACGGCAGCATGAGTCTTTCACACCTCCTCTCTCTCCATATGCTCCTGTGTGGTCAGACGGGGAGAAAGCGCATGTGACGTGGTGCTTTAGCTCCGGCCTCAAATCTCTATTTAATCTCCTGGACTTGAGTTACCCCACACTTAATAAACACAGATTAGTGCTATTCTTCAAAGCGTGTGGCACGTATCTCACTAGCGGTGTCTCGCCAGGGCCTTGCCCAACGATGGCACCGGCTGGCATGATAATCGGCCCGATTGGCATACCGTTCAGATACACACACACACACACAGAGACACAAACCATCACTGATTCATATATGTACTACAGCTACATGTATTAGCAGTTTTTATATACATAAGTCTTCACACAAAGACTGGCAGTGTCTGGCGTGCTAAACGGCTTGAGTAGTGTGTCATCTGCTCAGACTCTTCTGTCTGGCCCATGGATCCATTTGGCTGGACGGACCATGTTTTGGACATCCTCCTTCCCTCTAGTGCCAAGAGCAATGTTTCGGGAGCATCCAGGAAAACAAGGGACCTCCTTATTAACCTTTAGCTTTTAAGCGTGCATGTTTTTAGCAGGTATTTTTAATGTTCTGTTATATCATAGAGCTGGATCAGAGAAATAAATAAAATAAGAGATTAAGAGGGACATAATAATGTATAAAAAGCATAACGGAGATGCAGATACGGCGTCAGCGCGTTGGGTGAAATTAGTTCTCCGCTGGCGTCACAATGGGCCAGGGCTGTAATATTGAAAGGTTACTTGGGTTACGCAGGCTCGCCTGTCTGTCACCTCTCTGCCTTCAGGGGGAACTAATCACTTCACCCCATAATTACAGCCACAATAGAGCTGGTAAAAGAAACCTGCTGCCTTTCAGCTGAAGACAGGGGCTTTTTTTAATTAGGCCCATCCGTCTTAACCTTGTCTTCCAGAGGTGAGCGGGAGGTAGCCGGTTTGAGCTATGAAAACACAGCACTGTACTACCCCAAACACACACACACGTACTGTATTGTGTGTGTGTGTGTGTGCAAATATTGCATGGCATTGCAGACACTAGCCATTGGAGTGGCATTGTCTCTGTCTCTGGCTCCAAAGGGGATTTGTGCGTTGCATGGTGTTTTTCTTTTTTTCTCTCTGTGAGACAATACTCAAAATTCACAATGGGAACCCAACACTACACGCCAGAGCGTTGCATGCCAAACGCGTGATGGCCGACTATAAAAAATTAAGTGAAACTTCAGATGACTAAACAGCTGCTGGTGTGACGTAAAGCTGGCAGGTTTGAATAGAGAACGACTTGTATAGCGTGTGAAAACGAGGTTTTTATTAGGCTTTTCTCAGAGTGGAATCAGGGATTATATGATCAGAATCAGTGTCTTGAGTTTGAACTTCATTTAAGAATGTGTGGCCTGTTTGCAGAATTGTCATGCCTGTTCAGACTGAGGGCTTTTGTGTTTTGTGGTTTTGAGGCAGTTGGATTTTGAATGCGACTTTAAGTAAACAAAAAAAAAGAGGGAATCAATATATTTGATAAATAAAAAAAGAAAATCTAAAATGCTGTGACTAGGCATGGGACGATAACCGGTTTCAAGGTATACCGCGGTTTGGAAACGTCACGGTTTCAAAACCACACAAATTTTCCGTTGTACCGTTCCTGCGGTATGCACAGGTTTTTTTTACGTGTCATCAAAGACGGAAAGTGCAGGACTCCCTCGGTTGTGTGCAGCGAAGAGCGTAACGAGTCACACGACCCCTCCCCTTCCGGTTGGTGCGAGGCTGCGAGCAGTCAGTCAGAGAGTCACCTGTGTGTGGGATGGCCGAAGGAGGTGAATCCCTAGAACTTTTTCCTCCGTCGAAAAAGATGAAGTCTGCTGTATGGGAATTTTTCGGGTAACGTAGACTAACTATGTTCTGTACACAATGATATTCCGTACAGATGACGTTTTAGCGCCGATCGCTAAATAAATACTTCCAGGTCGTACATAAACTACATATCTGTGTCATCTTCATTTCTCCCTCTTTCACCCCCGATCAAGACAGAGACCCACCCGCCGTTTGTTTCAGTGTTGAAATAAATACTATTTGGCTTGCTACCGAGGCAGATAACATGGCTAATTAACTAGCTAACGTCAACTAGTTTGCTCCCTCACGTTAACGTTACTTCACAGAGCGAGGAATAGCAGACTAAAGTACTACGTTTCTGCGATTTAGTACAATAATTAAATTTAGCTGGTATCATGTCTATACTTTTAAGCCTCCTGCCATTGTTTACATCTGTTCAAATTCACGACATTTAAAAAAAACAAACAATCTGCTGGCTCTCAGGTGTCTTTGCCACTGTTTGAGTGTTGTACGGAGAAAGACTCGCGCTCTATCTTTCCTTATGTGTATGTGCAGACATCCTCGTACCTCACCGCTCCAAACTTAATCCAGGAAAGGTGTCCGGGAAAGGTGAACATTCCTGCATCATAACTTGGACTGAAAGATGAATGTGTAGAAAGCGAGGTTTCTGCGATTTAGTACAATAATTAAATTTAGCTGGTATCATGTCTATACTTTTAAGCCTCCTGCCATTGTTTACATCTGTTCAAATTCACGACATTTAAAAAAAACAAACAATCTGCTGGCTCTCAGGTGTCTTTGCCACTGTTTGAGTGTTGTACGGAGAAAGACTCGCGCTCTATCTTTCCTTATGTGTATGTGCAGACATCCTCGTACCTCACCGCTCCAAACTTAATCCGGGAAAGGTGAACATTCCTGCATCATAACTTGGACTGAAAGATGAATGTGTAGAAAGTGAGCATGTCTCCAAAAACCTTGTTGAGCTGCAGGTTTAATGACTGCATTTTTTATTAATTTTTTTAATTAATTTTTTTATTTAGAAGGATTTTTTTATTTTTATTTTTTTTTTTTACAGAAAATTATTTATGTTCTGATTATTGTTAAGCTGCAGGTTTAGGCCCACTTAATTTAATTACCAAGAATTCAATTATTTATTTGAATTATTTAGCCTGTCATGTTTATAGAGTGTTCCAAAATGTTCTATGTTTCTTAAAAATAAAATGTATTGTGTTAAGTGGAAAAAAAAAATTTTTTGTTTTTTTGCCCAGACATTTAAAAATAACATATTTTAGAGCTGTAATCGCAATACCGTGATACCGTGAAACTTTTTATCTTAACGTGATATTTTTATCTAAGGTTATACCGTCAGAATCTCATACCGGCCCATGTCTAGCTGTGGCAGAAGTAATTAATTTACTTCAAAAAATACTTACATATATATATATATATTTAACTTTTTATGGAAGACTGTTTCCACCTAAATGAAGGGAAATTGTGCCTTTATTGCGATTGTGATTTTATGTGACAGTGTGATTTTATGTCTCATAATTGTGGCTTTATACATTTCTATTGCAGCTTTGTATAGTCTATTGCTACTGTTCATGTTATGCACATCTATATATCTCATGATTGCAACTATGCATATGGTACTTGCGACTATCTTACAATGCAACTTTATTTCTCACAGTGTGACTTTATATTTTGAAATTGCGACTTTGTTTTCCCATAATTTTAGTGTATATATCTCACTATTGCAACTTTGTATATGGTAATTACAACTTTATATCTGACAATGTGACATTGTAGCTCACAATTCTGACCTTGTTTTATCATAATTGTGTCTCTATATTACATGCTTGCAGCTTCAAGCTTCATTCAAAATTTGACTTAATACTATGTTTTGGATCATGTATTATCTCAATAAGGTAAAGAAGTGAGCCTGGACTATCATAGGTATCCCCTCAAAAAAGAGGTTCATGATGCCTCTGACAGTAAGAGTGTGAATGTGTGTCTGCATGCATGTGTGTAAAACAGAAAAGACATAGCAGAGAGAGTGAAAACCCTTAAACGTCTGAACTCTCTCACCCTGTATCAGTAAGGGACGTCTTTCCTATGAACATTTCCAGGTGAGTCGTGAAACCCCATGATCAAAAGTGTTGTTTGTTTTCACACCGCCAACCTCAGAAGGAGTCTGGGGGCACAGCAGCTCTCGTTCCTGTAGAGCGCACACACAGGGCCAAAGCCCTCTTACTTATTATATCTCTAGAGACGGCGGATGTGTGCAGGTGTGTGTGTGTGTATATTCAGGTGAATAACTGTGGCTGCTGGCTGCTTCTGACAGTGATGTGTCTTGTCACCTTTGCTGAAGACGGATGCTGGTATGAAAGACTGGGGAGACGGGACAAGGGCTGAGATCCTGGCAAAGACACCCTACACTCCTCCTTTTCTCCTACAGCGTTCTCTCTTTTACCTCTGCCTTTCTCTGGCTCTTCCTCTTTCTCTCTGACCCAGGGAACATAGCGTGCTCTTTTATCTTCTGTAGTGTGGCACGCTCGTATATTATTCATAGGCAGTGCAGCACGAGGAAGCGTCAAGTGGCAGGAGTAACAAGGCGCTGAACTGAACAAGGAAGGTGACGACTCGGCAGTAAGATGAAGACACACACACACACACACACACCTATCTATATGTGCCATGTCTGTTTCTGTACCTTTACATTAGATACTCTCTTAATATTCTGTCTCTCGCGCGCTTTCGTACTATCCCTCCTTAGCCGTCTTTGCCATTCTTGGTGGAGTGAGCTCCAGGGAAATACACCTCTGAGGGGAATGTTTCCAGGATGATGTGTTATGTTTGTGTCTGCGGCTGACTATGAAGAGGCTTCACAATGTTTTTAGTTTGTTTAGGCACAACATGGTTTGTTTCCCTGGCAGCTGAGTTGGCTGAAGGCATCTCGCCGTCTTTTGAGGAGATACAGGAAAACGATGGATCCAGGAGTTGTTGTTTTCAGAAACAGAAAGAATAAAGTGAACAGCTGAAGAAGAGACTTCCAGCATGATGCAGAAAACACTTCCACCTATTCTGTGTTACAAAAAACACTTTTTGTAATGAAAAGTCTGAGGTGTATCTAGTAATATTTTAGCAATGACATGCGTAAAAAACAGAAATTTTTTTTTGTTTCCCAAGCGAGTGGCAGCGCTCTACTGCTCTGGTAGTGATGAGCATGTGTGTGTCCAATCAGGTGCTGAGGAGGTTAAAGGGGGGTGTGGCAGTATTTAACCTCCAAAAATGTCATACTGGGACTCAGAGAGCATGATGGGAAGGCAGTTTGGAAGGTGGTAGAGTCTGAGGCCATC